TGGTTATGGCCACTTTAATTATAGGACAGCTGAACAGGTACGTGTTCACTGCATTGAGGAATTTATCAGGTCCTGTTCTTTGCAGACCATGTCGGCAAAAGAGAAATCTAAATTTGATGAGATGGCAAAGGCAGATAAAGTACGCTATGATCGAGAAATGAAGGATTATGGACCAGCTAAGGGAGGCAAGAAGAAGAAGGACCCAAATGCCCCCAAAAGGCCACCGTAAGTGACTGTAGGATTCAGGACAACCATGAAAAGCTTTCCTTCTGCTTGAAAGATTTTTTAAAAGATACTTTACCTAAAAAAATGTAAGGAGACCTCTGTAAAATATTCTGTAATTTGAGCCTGAGGTGTTGGTGAGCTGTGTGTGCTTGGTAGTTGCCTGTTGACCTTTCCACTGGGAAGCAGACAGCCTAGTTTGGGGTTTTAGAATCCTTAGGTACATTCTCTACCCCTTGCCCAGTAACTGAGAGCCTGAGAAACCACTATATATTTCTAAAGCAGCTTAAAAATTTTATAGCCTTCAACTTTAAAACACTGTATATGGTATTGCACATTTCTTCACTCTAGGGAGGAGTGATAGGAAGTATGTGGGTTCAGGAACATGGGAGTTTGACTGAAGCTCACTTTTTGAAGATTCTCATCTACTTTATATAATTTTCTCCCCCAAGGTCTGGATTTTTCCTTTTCTGCTCGGAATTCCGCCCCAAAATTAAATCTACAAACCCTGGAATTTCTATTGGAGATGTGGCAAAGAAGCTGGGCGAGATGTGGAATAACTTAAGTGACAGTGAAAAGCAGCCTTACAACAATAAGGCTGCAAAACTGAAGGAGAAGTATGAGAAGGTGAGGTGGGCCAGACTGTGTACTCTGGCCGGTGAGAAGTCAGCTGCCCTGAATGTGAGGGTTTGTGGGGTGGAAGGATGCTTTGCTGGGCATGTGAGGGCCCATCTCCACTCAAGATCAGCTATGTGTGCTGATGTTCAGGCTTCTGATCTTTGTATTTTGGAGAACGTTAAGCAGGCTTAAAAATTCGGATAACGGGATGCCACTGGAATAGGATTTGATAGTTTTATAACATGACTTAAAGGCTACTCGATCACCCATTACCTTTTAAATTTGAATGGCTGAGAACCAAATGTGTATCAGGAAACAAATACTTCAAGTAGCAGACCTGTACTGTTTTTGAATTCCAGATTTCTTATTCTGAGGCAGGGACAGCATGTTTTCACCCTGTGCTAAAATAGCTGCAGGAGAGCTTGTCTTCTCATTTGGAATGTGTCCCTGTTCTTTCTAGGATGTTGCCGACTATAAGTCTAAAGGCAAGTTTGATGGCGCCAAGGGTCCCGCTAAAGTTGCCCGGAAAAAGGTGGAAGAAGAAGATGAAGAGGAGGAGGAGGAAGAGGAGGAGGAAGAAGAGGATTTTTGTATATAGTGATATAGCATCCTGCCATTCTTAGCTGTGAAAAAAGGTGGGTCAGCTGGCATGAGAAGTATTTGGATCGTTATGAATAAAAAAACTGTTTATCTGTCTCCTTGTGAATACCTTAGTGTAGGGGAGCGCCGTAATTGACACAGCTCTTATTTGAGAGGTGTCTTTTTTTTAGTTGTGTGGTAGTTTTAAACTTTGTTTTAAAACAAACTACAGCTCTTCATTGTCAACGAAGTGAAGAGTCACTGCATCAATGAAAGTTCAAGAACCTTCTGTACTAAACACAATTTGCAACGTTTTGTTAATTTTTGTATGTTTAGAATGCTGAAATGTTTTTGAAGTTAAATAAAAACAGTATTACATTTTTTAAGCTGTTCTCTATTATAACACTCTAAATTTCTGACTCCTAGCAGTCTTAATGGTAAAACACCCCACTCTACTGTATTTGATGACTAGCCTCCCTATAAATCTGGTAATTTAGGGCAAGTTGAAGAGAGCTACTTGAAGTTACTGCATGATTTTGTTTGTGTCTAAATGGCATCAAGATGAAGTCAGAACTATTGAATGTTGGAGCTAAGATAACTTGACACAGGCAAGGTTTAGCAGCCTTTAGAGGTGTAGGAAGGTGGGTGGTTAGGATTGAGGCTACTACCTATGAGGTTTAAAACTATATATTTTTTTGCCTCCTGCCCCACCCCTTACATTGTGGGGCCAAATTAATTGCTAAACAGCAAAAATACCTTCCTGAGGGTATGTATGGTGTATCAAACATTCAGGCTTTATTCC